TGGTAGGCGACCGGTTTTTGGCTTTTCGACGAAGCTCCCAGTTTCTTCCTTCTTTTTGCATATCCGGTAGACGGAGGCCGGGTCTACTTGTTCCGATGCTGCGATTTCCCGCATCGAATATCCTTCTTTCCGGAGCATGTATATACGGGCGCGTTTCTCTATAGGGATTCTAGGCATAATTATGAAAAATGGGATTATTTTTTAATTTACAAACAATCAAAACCGTTTGTACTTATCTTTATATAGCCCTTCCGTCCACCTTCCCGTTCGGTCGTAATAAGTATAACGCTAAAAAAGTTATGCATCTTTAATCAAAAGATAGAAGCGAATAAATTGTGATCATCAATACACTCACCTTTTGGTTGGCCAGGTTCTCTCTACGGCGAGGTATTCGTATCTCGCCTTTTTTTTTTCCGTGTTGCGTTTCTCTTGTGAGCCACTGTAGCATTCATCTGGAAGAACCAAACATCACATGTATGTGCTACATTTATTTAAAGGTTTTATAATAGAACATTTTATTTTAAATGATCAACTTCAATTAAGATTTGAATGAACAAATAAACTCTTTCATGGAAACAAATTAAAAATTTCAATCGAGATTATTGTGGAAGAAATTTAATAAACTGTGCTCGAGTACTTCCATTCTTCGTAAGTTCTAAAAAATCAACTTGCATTTATGGTTTCACGTATAGTCATCAAAAATATTATAATTAGCGATTATTTTACAATTCATAAATTTTATTGTGTTGGTAAATTTCAGTTTGTACATGTATAAAAATATGTACAGTATTGTTTAATATACATGAAAATTTGCTATATATCGTCAAAATCAATTTACTGAAAATCCATATTCTTTCTTTAGACTAATACTAAATTCCACATAAACATTGACAGTCACAACATTTCCAAATATTTGATACTTGTTGCTCTCCAGTTTGCTATTAATTCTATCCGTTGATATTCTGCGTTAAAGTACAAAATTGTAATTGTTTTTGATCATTAAAATATGATCTTTTTTATTTAAAAGCTTTTCAATTTTTTGGTTTTGTTCAATATCAAGAATTTTAAATAATGAGGTAACGACACGATTGATGATGGGCTATTCTGTTTCGAATACTAGAATATTTTCAAGCCATTTGGTAAATCACGAAAAGAATCAACCGTCAAAACAAGTACAATTATTGAAACAGGAAATAGTTTGCAATAAGTAAAAATTACTTTTTTTCATTTGGTCACCTTCCATCGTCAGCAGATACGAAGAGTCATACGGTTGAATTTCTTTTTTCCAAAGACTTAAAAAATTCAATAACTTGTAAAAAAGCAAATATGTAATTTCTCTAGTAAATAATTTATAAATACAGCCACATTATAGCATAACACATAAAAAACTGCATTTAAAATCCGTTATTTGAATTTAATTATAACAGTTATCGTTATGTTAACAGGTTCGATTAAGTATGATTATATTTATTATTTACCTGTTTAAACAACTCTTGTTGAATTAATTTGACATTTGCTTTCATTATCATTCTTTTTTCCATTTAAACGGGCCATTCTTTGCAACTTATTAACAATTATTCTTTCAGTGGCAAATAGTGTCCGAATTTGTTAAAGAAGAATTTTTAATCTTTCAAATGGCATATTTGATATCAGAACTTCTTTAATAGCATCTTTTTAAATTTTCAAAGATTCTAATATTTTGAATATTATATTCAATCGAAGCTTACTCACTTGCAATTTCACAATAGACATCATACGTTTCTAGATCATTTAAAAATTTTCAGGTGAGCTTTTATTAATTTCTATTCCTCAGAAAGCATAAAAGAAACATATATTTTGACAAATGTGAAATCTTCATATTTTGTATTCGATTGTTGGCTTTGGTGAAGATTGAGTAACAAAGATCGATTGTTTGTTCGAATGAGGTTTTATAACAATTATGCCATTACGCAATTTGAGCTTTTCTTCCATGTTTCATTTACCTTTTCTGCTTCAGACTTCGCAGATATAAAACATTTCTCTTCAATTTTAAGTACAGTCATACCCGAGTTATCATCTTTTGCCATTTCATTTTTTAAAAGTGGTATCAATCGCAAGTTACCTATAATACCTGAATTATTTTGTTCATTATTGACTAATGAACTTTGATTAATTTGAGAAGTTTCATGTGTAAACTGAGTGCTATTACAACTATTCTCATTTGAAACATTACTACTATATATCTTGAAAAGCGCATCGTGCCAGATGAAGTAGTTTCGTCATATATTATATATCCCAACCTCAGATCATTATTGATTTCTCGACTAAAACTGTCTTTATCCGTTAACGAGATCCTAAATGGTTATGATTTACTTTGTTATCGTTCATAAAATGTTTACCAGACTTTGGGAGTATACCTCCAGCGTCCGTAAGTTGAGAAGTTATCAGCAATTTCAGTAACAAGTTGTTATTCATCATGTACGATGTCAACTCCCGAAATCAACACTATTTGCCTGTACGTAATGACATTTCGAAAACAACTAGGCTAAGTCGGAAGTGTCTTTTGATCTTATTGGTATTATTAGTTCAACTATGCACGGACAGTACTTTCCTATGGCTTTAATCAGTAAATGCGTATTTTCATGGTCATATGTTTCTAATGCATTCTTAAAACCTTCATTCGTCTCGCAGTTGTTTGAATGGTTCGGTTTAATCTTTCAAGAACTAATTTATTTAACTTTAAGACAAACTTTTGAAGATTTGGATACTGTATATTTTCTAAAACTATAAGTGTGTCCTTTGGAAATTTGTAATAAAAAACGAGAGCTTTGAAAATTTAACACTAAATTAACATATTCGGAGATACTTTATACTCAAAGTCCCGGTCCAATTAATGTAGGTTATCGTTTTTTATATGTTTTCAATGCTTTATCAAATTTAGAGTTGAATCGATCACTGACAAGCTTTAGTTTTTATGGCACGTTGAGCGCGAATAAGTCTCACTTATGCATAAAGTTTGTTGCTGATCGTGAAAGTGAATTACAAATGTAGCAACTGGGATTTCATTTGATAAATGCATATAAAATATTTTGCATTCGATTGTTCATGATTTGCATTATTGACATATATAGTGAAGCTTTATGATAAGATTAAAAAGCCGACATGTATTAGATTATCATTTGTAATTCAGTTAGTTGTGACTGTATAGTATCATTTTTAGAAAGCCCAAGAGATAGGACAAGTGTGGTTTAAGAGAAATAACCAGGTTAATTTTCATAGTTACATGTAGAATGAGTATAATTGCGAAGATACGATCATCTGCATATTCCATAACGATAATTACCGAATATTCATTTGTAACTGGTTTTTAGTTATTCATAATAAACAAAATAGTGTATTCTGAAACCGATTTTGAAAAATTTGATTCATCGGAAAACAAAAGCAATTTTATTTTAGGAAACATTAATTTTACCTCTTTTGTAAACTCCGAAGTAATTTGCTTTAAATCATAACTTCTCTTCTTCGTGTAGATTTATGTACTTCGTGATTCCCACCTGTGAAGTTTATCCAAAACCATCTTTGAAGTTACCTATTAAGGTTAGAAAATCTTTCAAATGGAATCCGTTCGAATAGTCTATATAACGGAATTAGAAATATTAGCAGTATACATGTGGGCTGAGTCGAAATTTTAATACAATTTGCATCAATTCTATTTGACTCAGTCCATGCATCAGCTCAAATTTTCATTTACTGTATAAACCTACGGTTTTATAATTGAACTTCTGCATCGTAACGTCGTTGATTTGTCTTCTGGAAATATATGCCTGTTGCCTTCATATACGACTCTAATAATTGTATACAATATTTCTTGTGAAAAATCATCGTCCCTTTAATTGATAATTGTCTGCTTAATGTGGTAATAAATTGCTGCTGCTACCGCTAGAAAATAAACATACAATAGTCAAATTTTAATGAAAGAAAAAAAGGAACTTCAGAAAAATGATTTGTTTTTTGTGGTGAATGTTTGGATTATTTCAAAAGCACATTTTTGCATAACCTTTTTTTAATGAACTCTACAATTAGTGTTGTTACTATGGCCATTTTGATTTTGATATCTCTTGAACGTTAGGGAAAGCATGAAAATCATCTGCGATTACTTTTGGATAATTTAATCCTGGCAGTAACTGTGGCTTTATTTTTCAAAACTTGCTATGACAATGCCAATTTGTGATATTCCAAATATCACTCTAAATGCAACAGTATTAGCCTGAAATTGTCCATAAAGTCTAGGCCTGTGGAACACTTAATTATAGTAAATTTATTAACTTAGCAAACTATCAATATTTATTAAAATTATGTATTCATTATACACATGCAAAAGTGAAAACAAGCTGAAACTAATCCGAAACTCCAATAAATAAATTCAAATCCAAACCTTGATTTCATGCTTTGATAAGTTTAACCAAAAGGGTTAATTAATGACAACTAATTTACTAAGTGGCTGAAATAAAACCTTCTCAAAAAAGTTTAGTCAAGCTAATAATCTGTGTTGATTCCGAATTAAATTCAATATATCTCTACTAAGACTCTACTAAGGATGATTATATTATAAAGTAGATTATATCAAATTATAGTTATTAATAAGGACATGCATAATATATTCTTTCCAGTAAGTATTAAAATTTTATTTTGATCTAACTATGTAAAATAAAAGTTTTATTGATTTAGAATCAACAGATCCGATTCATGATATTAATATGTATATGCGACTAAAAACATTTTTTACAAACTCGACTTAAATTAAATTAAAAAAACTTTATTAAATCCCTTATAAACATATTATTCATAATAAAATTATTGAAATATTTAATGTGGCTGAATAGGGAACGCAGAATATGGGTGCTTATTTTATAATAGTTAGGGTATAAGTAGCAAGTATAATCATTATTTTTTTCATATAGCGCCTTTCTTTTTGATTAAATTTTAAACTTTGGTTCAGTGTATGATTATTGTAGGAAGGTCTAATAAAATGCACACCATCGAATTGTGACTGTATTTTCTTCATCCTCGTTCAAAAATTCAACATACACATCTTTGATTGGCTCAACTTTTACATCGATAATTGAATTGGATTCTTGAGATCTCTGACAACTTGCTTTAAAAATCGGCGTTTTTCGCGCAATAGGATATTCGATGTTCAGCAAGACAAAGGATGATGGAGAGAGAGGTTTATCAATATTTATTTGGCAAGTCCAATGTTTTGCGATATTGACATTTTCCAGAGCTGATTTTTTCTTGAATGTAATCTCCAATTCTGTAGACCCTGTTTTAATTTCTTTGTCACGAGTTGTCGAGTCAAAATAACCGATTTCGCTTGGACACCCAATTAACATCCATTTTAGCTTATATGAGGTTTGTGAACTAATGAATAAAAAATTAAGTTTAAATTTTTTTTGCATGAAAATAAAAAATTTATACTAATTGCTTACTTCTTATCGTCAACCTGAATCCAATTTACCGAAAAACCATATTCTGACTTCAGACTAAATTTCATATAGATACTTGCGATTGTTTTGTCATTGGTATCCACAACATTTCCAAAAATTTGATATTTATTGCTCTTCAGTTTGCTATTAAATTCTATCCGTTGATATTCTGCGTTAAAATCCAAAATTGTAGTTTCTTCGAGCATCAAAATATGATCTTTTTTACTGAAAAGCTTTTCAATTTCTTTCTGCTGTTTGATATCAAGAATTTTATATAACGGGATAACAACACGTTTGATAATACCCCATTCTGTTTCGAATACTGGAACAATCTCAAGCCATTTCTGAATTTGGCTGGATCAAAAAGAAAAATAAACCGTCAAATAAAGTACTATTATAAACTAAAAGAAGTTGGAATAAACAAAGATTACTTGATTTTAATTGGATCACCATTCATCGTCAGCAAATACGAAGAGTCGTACGGATAAATTTCTTTTTTCCAAAGACTCAAAAATTCATTAGCTGATGAAAAAGAAAATATTTAAATTTCTCTGGTTAATAAATTATTAATATAGCCCTCATAACATTTAAAATCAATCCATTATTTGAATAGTAAGCAGCTCGATTAGATATTGTTATAGTTATTACATATTTACCTGTTTCATCAATTGGACGTTTGCTTTCATTTTCATTCTTTTTTCCATTTAAACGCGCCAATCTTTGTAATTTATTACCAATTATTATTTTAGTAGCAAATAAGTGTCCAAATTTGTTAAAGACGAGTTTTAAATCTTCAATTGGCTTATTTGATTCCAGAGCTTCTTCAATAGAAACTTTAAATTTCTCAGAGATTTTAATATTTTGAATATCATATTCAATCGAAACTTGCTCACTTGCAATCTCACAATAGACATCATACGTTTCTAGAGCATTTTCTGAATGTCTTCTGGGATTCATATTGAAAAACATGAAAAAATTCTTTATATCTTCGGACGAGTTTGCATCAAATTCTATTCCCTCAGAAAGCAATAAAGAATCATATATTTCTGACACATGTGAAATCCTCATATTTTGTAATTTCTTGTATTCGATTGTTGGCTTTAGTGAATATTGATGATCTATCACAGAATCAATTGTTTGTTCGAATGAATATTTATCAACAAATATGCCATTACTCAATTTGAACTTTTCTTCCCATGTTTCTTTTACATTATCTGTTTCAGGCTTCGTCAAATATAAACCTTTCTCTTTAATTTTTTCAGGTACAAATTTCCTTTTTCTTTTTAGAAATGACGATGTCAGTACCCAAGCAAGATTTGGTAGATCATTATAAACTGGTATTCTAGAATCCTCACTATAAACTGATATATCTGATTCACGACTAATACCACGTAAAGTTACGGGTAATCTTCTTCGTTCGAATATTAATTCATGATGGTATAAAAAGTACCAACAAACTGCAGCAATCCCTATTTCAACAATACTAATGATGTAAGGAAGGTAACTTTTATAGCTTGTGTACTGAATACTTTTGGAACTTTCACATAGTATGCCATTGAGGGATACTTGTTGTTGTGAACCTTGTGTTGCTGTATTGGATGAATCGTTTGCAAAAGACCCAAATATGATGAATAACGCAAATATAATAAATATTATGAGTATTATGCGCCACACTTTGAACGGACGATATAGGTTAGGATAAGTAAAGCGCATAATCTGAAAATATGTTAATTAGAATCTTGAACTCATTGAAAGTATTGGACAACTATCAAATAATATAAAAATCACCAGTAGTCCCAAAGCGCTCAGAAATAAAAATATCCACATGCAATACACGCCCAAACTAACAAAAAATACAAATGGATCATTCTTCGTAAAAGTGCAATTTATTTCCTAATTTAGTTTAGACACTTTGAATTCAGGCCAATCATGAATAAGAATTTGGTTTTCAA